TGCTCTTTATCAACTATATACCCCCCCAAATCATCGGTGAACGAAACTTCGGTAGCTACAACTACTGTACGACGAGCAAGCGGTTATTACAGCTGACGATGATGATGACTACTCCTTATGTTCTCAGCGCGGGGCAGTATGCTTGCCAGCTCGGGGATTCGCATAAATAGTCTAGTAGTGCTTTGAACTGGGTTCCAGAAGCAGTGTAGACGACCATCGTAAGAAGGCTATTTTACGCAGATACTACCGAAATAAAAAAACCTGTCTAATGAATATGTGTGCACTCTGGGCTTGAAAATCTCCTTACCATGCCCCCGCCGTGTTTGCTCGGGCAAAGGTGAAAAATCTTTTGGCTATACTTTGTTCAAACAGGCCATAAGTAAGCATTGGGTCCCCTCGTAGGTGACGGTACTCCAGGGAAAGAGGTCAAGCACCGCAAAATGCGTTTGGTAGTCCACGGATTTGAGGCCAACAGCAATTTTCGTGGCGCCTTGCTGGACACGCTCAATGGTGACGTATTTTGTGCAACCTGAGTGTACAATACGGTTGGCATATTCAAGGAGGGGTCTGACGTAACCCCCATAGAGTATTTGGAAGTCCATGCGAGTAATACGGGAGGTGCGCCGGATCATCTGTAAAATGGCGAATGCTTTTTGGGCCGGTTTCTCATGGTGCAATGAGAAGGACAAGTTTGCGAGAACCCAGATACCCAAATCTTTTTGGAGTCTATCCTCATGATGTTTTCCGGTCCTTTCTCACCATGCATGACAAAGGCATGCATTTATACATATAAATCGTGTCAGTCGTCAGAGATACAAACGTTAAACCTTGGGCAAATACAGAGTTTAACTGGGACAAACATTCCATGACACAATTGCAGTGCATATAAACCAACATAAGTTTACGTTTCATGAACAACTCAATTATGAATGTGACTCATTATGTGATTTAAGTCACAGAAATGAAGACTCGGAAGGTTGTGGTAGTAGCTATATTCGACGTAGAACTACGACGTCGTATTTCAGACCAGGTTTCGTTTATTCTGTAACTGACTGCCAACACCGGTTCCAAAACTACGGAAGGTGCACTCAACACGGCCTTGGCGAAATAATAGAAAAAAGTTACAGGGAGGTCATTTTATTGACCCTCAGTCAAGGTTGTCCAGCACCGCTTTCAAGTTACTTTTCGCTGATTGGCCGCTTGGGTGACCAATCGATGACTTGCTTTTCTGGCTGGGGTAAATGGAGGTCTTCCCTTGGAGGTTCCAGCAGAGCTTCGGATAATATGGTGCTGTTTATGGGAAGCCGGTCTTTCCGATCATTTTCTAGGTGGAAATGACGAAGACGGAAGTGTTTTAGGATGAGTCACACGTGGGGACATCTGGCGTCAGCCGGGAAGCAAATGTCAACAAGACCTCGGACGTCGCAACTACAAGGTAAACCCCAGGACATTACCAAGCTCCCTGTTTAAGAATAAAAAATCTAACATCTCCATCGGAGACGAAGGCGGCTAGCAGGTTCACCGGTTGGCCAGCCGGGACTCGAAATTCGCAGTGTGGTGTTTTGTATTTTTCTTTTGCTTCCGTTAAAACATTATAATCTAACACGACCTTATCATTTGCATATTCACGGATTCACCGATTGATGCACATGATCGAGGCTTTTGCCCAAATTTCCCGGGTCGCTTTTGTTCTCGTCGGTCAGTGGCTGTCGTTCACCTGAAAGGCACAAGTGAAAAAAAGGGTGTTGCAGTGCTCTTTATGTTCTCAGCGCGGGGCAGTATGCTTGCCAGCGCGAGGGTTCGCATAAATAAGTGTCTAAAAGTGCTTTAACCTGGGTTCTAGAAGGAGCGTGGACAACCGTCGGAGGAAGGTCATTCCACGCAGCTACCACCCGAAATGAGAAAAAATTTGTCTAATGAATGTGTGCTCTGAGATTGAAAATTATCCTACTATGCCGCCGCCGGGAGTTTGCTGGGTAAACGGTGAAAAACCTGTTTGCCAAGCTTTGTTCAAACAGGGCGTCATTAAGAATTAGGTCCCCTCGGAGGCGACGGTACTCCAGGGGAAAGAGATCAAGCATCGCGGGATGCGTTGCTTAAGCGATGTTTGGGGCTCATTAGCCACACAATGCTCTTGGCCCCAAAATCTTTTAAAGGGGTTAAAACTTTTTGCGCTAAAGTGTCGTGTTTCGTTGGATATATGCTCAAACCAGGAACCGTTTTAATTTGCATTAATATTTTAGCGGCTCACGAAATTCCATTGGCATGCGATGTAATCATGCATCTGGCGGAAGACGTCGGTTGGAATGATCCCTAACATCGCTGAATGCCAACAGTGCCTGGATGGGGCTGAGAGGTTTGGACTAGTACGCAATTGTCTGTCTTCTTTAATCCATCAGGCACAATTCGTGATTTTCAAAAATTCAGTTCCATTGTGCGAATACTGAGCGCCAAGACTTTTTGTTTGAATACGAAAAAGCGTAAAAATGCGCACCTACACAATTACACAATACACAAACGTGGTCACGTGCTTCGACTTTCTCTTCTGATTTCACTCGCGCTTGCAGCGGTCAATAACGAGTTTCGTGCACCAACTCTGGTATCAAAACATTTCAGACTACCTTCGAACTTTATTACATATGAGAACCGTTCAGAAGACTCCTGAACAACCACAATTTGATCATAATTTATTCGCTGGCTTAGGCCATCGGAGAACTATTTTAAAGAGAACAAATCTGAGTGAGTCTGTTCCATCATACCCCTCTATTATTGTATACTCAATCTAGAGCTTTTATTTTCCTCGCCACACACTCCTGGTACCGTGGTTTTTTGGGTAGCCAGACCACCAAAGCAGGCACATCATCTGGGAGAACCGAGCACATGGGAATGTACCTTGGTCACCCTTTTAACCACCACGTAATCAATTCTCTTCGGACTACTGCTGACTCCTATTTCGAACGGGATTACACACAGTTTTAATCCAGTCGGGCATGGTAGCTAAACACCTAATGGTGAACCACTAAGGTTTATTTTAGACAACTGGGATTCTACAGGTAAACTCTGATACCCCTTTGCTGGGAGCAGATAATAGTTCAGGGGAGGCGCTCTCATTTCAAGCCCTCAGAGATCTATCGGACGGGGGTAAGCGATCTAGAACCGTGACTTTTCACAAAAGATATGGGGACAAAGCTTTTTAAGTAGCCAGTGGTGTGGTGTTCTCTCATATATTCTGACCAACCACCGCTAACCCCAAAAAACTTCATTTTTGATTCGAAGCCACTGCTAGCGAAAGCTATGGGGGGACGGCCATGACGTGGCAGTTTGAAATGGGTATAGATACAGCCATGCTGAGTACACTGGGCTCCTCGCACCTTCTTGGCTCAGGCCATTGTTGTCTTGCACGCGAGGTACGACACGGAGCAGGTGTCAGGGTTGCATACGCTGACGTTTCCTAGTAAAATTCATCTGTCACGGGGTGCAGCGCTCAGATACGGCAAGGTTTGCGAAAGATACTGTTTCAACTCCTGGAGACGCACCCGAATTCTAAATGATGCTCATATACATTAACTATAATAACCTGAAGTGCATAGATGTCTCTTTTATGAAAATCAACCTTAATGAAAAGAAGTTTCTCCGAACTAACTGTCTACTTTTTTCCTATCTTTTCCGTCTCCACCAAAAAATTCTTTATATTGCTATGACGGTTGAGCGGCATTATATATTAGTGGTATACTCTTATAAATGATGACGATCAGGTTTTTGTGTTACAAGACACAAAGCTTTCAAACAATTCCACTGGTTTGATAGCTTGTTTGAAATCTGCTACGATATCACTCCCCTCGGTGTGGTGTTGATGCAGTCGTCAAGGTCACCCACCGTGGGCATACTGCAAGGTTTTTGACTGACTGGCACTGCATGGACGACAGTGCCATAAACTCACGCTGGAGATCATCTGACGCAATAATTATCTCGTGAAGCTGAAGTAAAACAACGACGTGTATTCTGTTGATTTTCGGTTTCTAAGCGCCTTCGGCCAGCATAATCATGTTTAAATCGCATTCAGCGGTGAGCTCTTAGCGCTATACATCGTCTCTATCTATTAATGCCACGCTCTCTAGTGTCACGAGTTCGTGGTTCTAAGTGGCCGAAAGTCACGCTTCTACGTCTTACCCATGACCATGGGAAGATACCCTTCCCGAGAATTTTGTTACCTTGACTACAAAGTACAGATTTTGGACAACATACACATCCCATGCAAGTTATCTACTGTAGTATCTGGTCCTTGCCATTTGCGTTGATCTATATGTGGGCACTGATGATGTACAACTGCTTGGTGAGCTTCGACTCACCAGGTTTCTTTCCGTGTTATGTCTACAAAAGTGTCCGCGAGGAAGATGATTACCTTCCCACGGTGCTTCCACAGAGTTCACACTACGATGTAGATATACTTTGATATGTACTCCCTAGTAGACGCTATTGGCGCCGCCTTCGGCATCACTTCCACCACAGCTTCTTGTGTATCTGCTTCTTCTTCATTCGAGGCCGTGCCCTCTATTCGTCCAATGGGGGTGTCCTGTCCCATCAGGCGTACCTCACTCAATGGTTTCGTTTACACTGCGTGAAAATGAGATGCACTCTCAGGGGTACGTGCATTGCTGCGTCTGACCACCAAACCTTGTTAAGAAGGCAGACCTGGCATTCGGTGCCCGGCGCAGACGCTTCTCCAACGCCGGTGAGACAAACCCGGGCTTTGCACGAAGGGTCTGTCGGCATTACAAAAAGACTTCAAGGCCGGTCAGGCCGTTCCTAAAGTGCTTTCGGTCTGACGGGCCCCTTTCATCACCAAGAGGACATCAGCACGATGCAAAATGCACCAACCACTTCACCTGCAGCGGCGTTGCTAAGCTATATCGGAGTTTTCCTCGAGCACTGCCCCGCCCAGGATCCCTGACCTCTCAGGCAAGCTGGTAGGGCCAGGCAACGGGCAGCGTTCAGTCACGCGTAGTGTATAAAGTGCTTATGTGCTCACGCGCAAAATTTCCCTTGTTCCAATACCCGTCATCCTACATCAGTCCGTGGTGTTCAGCATGCAAATAAGTCCTTTTGAAAGGTGCTAGTGTTCGTGAGTTCCCGGCCCTCTGGAACACCATATGAAAAGGATCCGAATTCCATCACCTAGCAGGACAGTCGAGCTCAGACGGCCTTGTAGAAGGCTGACTCCGGGTTTCCTAGATGACAACCCTGAGCTCTCTCAATTTTCCGGTCTCACAAAAGCCACACCGACCCATTGCTCCGTATGCTAAAGGAATACCCTCGGAATGCGTCTCCGATCCCGCCCGCACTAAGTCGCGCTGCCTGCAGAACCAGGCGCTGTTGTTAAATTTGTAGGCCAGTGTGCTTTTCCGAGTTTCTGTTGCGGTTGTGTACACCACCTGTCATTTTTTTTCGGTTGGCGCTTCGGAGATGAAAGAACTTCTATTGGCTCATTTAGTTTTTTGTTCACTTTATGCCCTACTACAATCGGATAGAGATCCCAGGGGTAGGAGCGTACGATGCTCAACTGGTCGACTTCATTATCCGTCTCATGACACGGAATGCTTGGGGTGAGCTGCATACGTTCTACGATAGTGTTTTCAACCATTTTCCGGGAAGCTGATTTCCTCCTGAGAACAGAAACCCTGAACACATCCACGTGACACGCATTTTTCGGATTACGGTAATAAATATCGAAAGGTTTTGTGTGTGAGGGATGTATGACCATAGATTGTGTAGAAATGTTGCCGTGTGAGTTGCTACGCCTTTTGAGAACAAGCGCGACAGTCCCTATTGATTCGCGATCTCAACCTGTCCTAGTGCAGAAAGGAGACGGGTACTGGATCTTCGGAGGAAAGCGTTTACTGCATCGGCGGAAGGTAAGTATACGGGGATCATCATCGGATATGGATTTTGAACGATAAATTGGTTTGCACAATCAAAACGCAACTGGTTGATAAGAGAGGACCGTGGCCATTTTTGGAATAAGATGCAAAATGGCAGAAATTAAGCGACAATTCACATTTCAAAATTCTAGGAACTAATTCTGAAGGTAACTAGAAACAAACGTTTTTCTGGGCTCAGGGTATCTTAAACAGGTAAATATACCGGCGAAGAATGAAGCACAGTGCTCTGGTCCGCCAGCTCATTTTTGTTACTTTGCAGCTAGTTGAGGCTCATCAGGCTTCAACCGTCAATAAGGACACTTCGGAAATAATTGAGTCATCCAGATGGATTAGCGGTCGCCAGGGCAAGCACTCACCGGCGGTATGGCCTTTATAACTGTCAATGACGCCTCTAGCTTTGCTGGAACCACACAATTTGGGGCTGGGTAATTTACCGCGTTTTTGGTTCCATATGTAGCAAACCAGTCACCCACATACTTGACTGTTCAGCTAACAGTCGCTCATTAGATCGCGAGGACTGCCATTTTCTCATACTCACAAACACGTCACATTAGGCTGACTCATCGGACATCAATTTTTCGCACCGCCCAGTCAGCGTAGCAACCACTCATGTGCCGACGCGCCCACGTACACGCACTGGACCTAGGGAAACCGAAACCAGTCAGGACACAGACTCGCGCGCGCGCAGGGAGCAAGGAGTAAGCCAAGAACTCCAAGCCCACGGACAATCATGGAACACGTGTAGCAGCCATACTGCGAACAAAACACCTTCCCACCGTCCAGACTTTTACCAAGGGATTCTCTCATACGATAACTTCCCTTTAGACTCGCTCCTATTTCACATTGTATCACATTGTACGTATTGCAACCATGCTTAAAAGCTTCTATGAGTGCACATACACCGTCAGATTTGTAATATAGCTATCATCACCTGTGCACTAACAATACTTTCATTTGATCCAGGGTATAAGATCCGGACGGTTAAGGATCTCACAGGACGATTGCGACTATTAGATTATACGCAGTAGTCAATAGGAGCAGACAGACGTGGGGCGGAAGATGA